TCTAATACTCAGTTTAGCCTGAAAAGTCTCCCAAATCTTCCTCATAGAAGGTATGTAATCCTGCGTTTTGGTGAGCACAGTATTATTACACTTGTTTATGTATCTGACCACTGACCCACTAGCTTGTGAGTTTTCATGAAGGAGAGGATATTCTCTCTCTCTCTCTCTCTCTCTCTCTCTCTCTCTCTCTCTCTCTCTCTCTCTCTCTCTCTCTCTCTTCCTCCCTCCCTCCCTCCTTCCCTCCCTCCCTCCCTCCCTCCCTCCCTCTCTTTCTCCCTTTCTCTTTCCCTCCTTTCCTCTACCTTTCCTCCCCCTTTCTCTGTCCTCCCTTCCTCTTCCACTTTTTCCTTTTCCTTCATAAATATTTACATTTATTATGAACAATCCTTTTAATTGGCCCTTGAATACATTGGTATGGAAAAAGAGATACAAGTCCCTACAATGATAATGCTTATAGCCTATGGAGAGAATGTGTTACACCAATGTTCACACTTTCAATGTATAGTTGCCAATGGAGATAAGTGCTCTTAAGGAAAGAAATACAGTGGTGGGAACATTAATAAGAAACAACACCAAAAATTGAGGCTTCTCAGACAAAGTTACTTCTGAGATGTGATTTAAATATACTAGGTACATGTGTGGGTAGGGTGGGCAGGGGTGGTGGAGAGAAGAACATATGGATAAGGATAAAAATAGGTGAGAGGAAGCAGGCGAAACAAAAGTGTTGCTGTTGTGTAAACAAGAAAACAAATTGAGTCAAGGTGAGAAGTTGGGCAGAGCCAGAGCAGGGAGGCCCTTCCAGGTTATCAGAAGAATTTTTTATCTTTATGCTAGGAGAAATGGGAAGCTGCTAAAGTATTTGAAGCAAAAGAAGTGATTTCATTTGATTCATGCTTTGAATTTCCTATGGTGACAGTGCAGAGAATGGATTGGAGTTGACAAATATAGTGAATTTAATCAATGCTGGTTATTAGTAAATCCACCTGCTTAATAGCTAATCTGAAGAAGTGGATCATGCTGGGGGTGGAAGGGGACCTCATAATTATTTTGGCTTGTTTCACTTTAAATTTTGGACCATGTATCTCAGTGGCACAACTCCTAAGAGCCTCCATGCTTCATGTATCAATTCACTATTTTGAATGGTATATGGCACCTTCTCCCTTTTTCTCCCCCATCCTCAATTTTAGTGATAAGAAATAGGATTTCTCTACTTCCTTCTATTTCCTGCTCTATTTTAAATATAATTTTACATCCAAATTCCTTAGAGTTTGTCCATTGATGCTTTAGCAAATATTTAATAGCCAGGTCTTACATTTTTTTAAATCATACTTTATAGTACTGATCTATTTCTGTGGGATAAATAATCACACTATGAATGATTGAAAGCTCCCAAACTTAACTTCACTGAACATAGAATTGGAAGAGAAGCCCCCGTTGACCCAATAAGCTCTTAGGAGCTGGCTCCAACATACCACTGGATTTATCTATACTCACTATCTCCACTTCTCTACTACTTTTATATCTCAATCCTACTTCAGTCAAATTTTGTTCTCAGCACTCCATTACAAACACAATTCTCAAGTAAAAACTTTGACATTCAAATTATTAGGTATCTCTTTAGTATTTCCTATAACTACTGTGCTTAAACTGAGTTTTAATAAATTCTCTCAGAATAAAAACCAGTGATCCTTGATCTCAGGAGCAATGTTCCCATTTTCCCTCCATAATTATAATCCCATTGCTTTAAGGCCAGATAGTGGCACAATTACTTAAGGGTTCTCTGCATGAATGCTTAACATTTTTTCCAAATAAACAAATATTTAAAATCAACAACCAAGAAGGTCTATAATAATTGAAAAGCAACTGACTGGAAATACACTCTGAATAAAATGATCTTGTTTATCCCTCAATGACATAAGACATGAAATAAAAGGATAAAATTTAAGCTATTAAGTATTCCTAATAAATGTTAAAATAAATGAGAGGATTTATTTTAATGAGCTACTGACAACCCTATATAATAAAGAGTTAATATGCAAATTGATCATCATGCCCTCACATAAGATGGCCGGCCCCATGTGGTCACAAAATGGCTGCCACAAGTGGCTGGCAGTGGAGGGCAGTTGCGGGTGTTCAGGACTACAGGAGAGGGCAATTAGGAGCGACAAGGCTGTCAGGAGAGGGCAGTTGGGGCTACCAGGCCTGCAGAGGAGGCAGTTGGGAGGGACCAGGCCTGCAGGAGAGGGCAGTTAAGGGCGACAGGATAGCAGGGGAGGGCAGTTAGGGACAACTGGACTGGCAGGGGAGGGCAGTTGGGAGTGACTGGTGGGCAGGGAAGGGCAGATGGGGGTGACTGGGTTGGCAGAGAAGTGCAGTTTGGGGTGACCAGGCCAGCAGGGAAGGACAGCTGGGGGAGATAGCGCCAGCAGGGGAGCAATTAGAGGTCGATCAGGAAAGCAAGGAGTGGTTAGGGGGTGATCAGGCTGTCAGGCATAAGTGGTTAGGGGAAATTAGGCAGGCAGTCAAGGAAACTGTTTGGAGCCAGCAGTCCCAGAATGAAGAGGGCACAGGCTGGGCTGAGGGTCACCCCCTTCCCCAGTGCAAAAATTTCATGCACTGGGCTTCTAGTAGAAAATATGAAGAAACTCAGTAGCAATAATTAGCAATAAGTAATCATGAAGTTTCTGCTTACACTGATGAATTAAATTATACCTTCATTGTGCTTGTTTCCCTTCAAATGTAGAATTCTATCCATTACCATTCATTACTGAAATTAATCCTTACCATATTGGTATTTGAATCAGAAAAGAACTTCACTCATTCTTGGTCAAAGGATGCAAAACAATTGTGGTTATATTAAATAGTTGTCATAAGAATTACTGTTTTCAAACTATACCAGTGTTTTTCAAACCCAGTATTATCGTGAGCTCTTTGAATGCTATCACATGAACCAAGGCTGGTTTTAATGATTCAAAGTAGGTCAATACTGCTCAAAGGCCTTTTTATTAATTTGTTTTCCCATGATATCCTAGGTTACATAGTTCTTTATTTTGTTCAACTTTCTAATACCAAGCCAGTTGTTCTTTCTATAAACAAAGAATTTTATACTATCATTTTTTTTAACTGTGTGATATAAGGTTTTCAATTGTTCCTCCTAAAATATTTATCTTTTATTATACAATTAGAGGCCTGATGCACAACATTTGTGCACTTGCTGGGAGGGGGTGTCCCTCAACCTGGCATGAGCCCTCTCACAATCCAGGAGCCCTCGGGCAATGTTCAACTGCTGCAGAGGCAGAGAGGCTCCTGCCACTGCCCCTGTGCTCACCAGCCATGAGCCCGGTTTCTGGCTGAGTGATGCTCTCCTGTGGGAGTGCACTGACCACCAGGGGGCAGCTCCTGCATTGAGCATTTGCCCCCTGGTGGTCAGTGTGCATCATAGCAACCAGTTATTCTGCTATTTGGTCTATTTGCATACTAGCCTTTTATTATATAGGATATTAATACATATATTGTCCTTTCCTATTTTTACAAAAATTAATTCCTTTTTTTCAATGTTAACTTCTCAACCTGAGCTTACAAATCCATTCCTTCTACTCCCCAGTTTCCATCCCCTTTCTCCATTGACTATCCTCCAGCTTCTAGCACTATAGTCTTCCCTTGATTCTAACTGATCCAACTAGCAAGTTATTAATACTGTTTTCATTATGATGCTCCAAATTCTTTAAAGGTTCCCTAGCATCTATGTTATTCTAATATCTTGTCTAGGCATTCAAGATCTTCACCAAGCTGAGCCTAAGAAGATTTTCTATATTATTCCCTATAACAAAACCTTTGCTTTTGCTAAGCTGATTGACTTACCCTTCTTAAATATGGTTTAATCGTTATCTTCTCTGATTTTTGACAATTCTGTGAATTTCACTTAAGTGACCTACTTCTTTCCTCATTTCCCTGACTTTTCAGGTTCAGCTCAAATTGTATCTTCTCTGTGAAGCTTCTCTTATAGCCCTAGACTACATGTTCTGATTCCCTATAGTTTTCATAAACCCGGTTTAGCACTCAATTATAAATAACTTAATTTACATCTGCATTCATGTTTATGCCTGCATCTTTTCCTTTGAGGAATCAATCTATACAGTCAAATGAATATTAAGAATGAATGTTTCTTTTATCTACATAGAAATCTTAATATAACCTCTCAAATAAAAATATATATATATTTATTGAACAAATGAGTAAAATACTATCTCCAATAGACCTGCTATTAAAAATGACCACTATTTCAGAAATGTAATAGGTGGATACCACAGGAAAAGTTATGCAAGGACTGGAAGATTTGTGTGATATCAATCCCAAGTGTTAATTAAATAAATATTTAATTATTTAATTTAATTAAAATTAAAACTATCAATTTTAAAATAATGCTGTCTAAAACAAAGGAAAAAATAGTTCAGTTTCCCATTATTGCCAGTACATCTGACAAGTAGGCGGAAACCTGTGATTTGCAAACAGTGAATAATACATTATTAAAATGTACTACATCTTCTAGAATGTTATGCAACATACTTTCTAAGGCATGAGAACTCTGCCTTTTTTCATTAACCATAATTATTTTGAGATTAATCCATTTTGTTACATGTATCTATAGTTTGTTTATTAGTATTGTTAGGTATTATTCCATTATATGAGTATAGCACCACTATTTTTTTATTCATTCGGCTGTTAGTAAATGTTTGGGCTGTTTCCAGGTTTTGGCTATTACAAATAAAGCTGCTGTGAAGATTTGAAAATAAAAATTACTAATATATTATATATCCTAATTCTAAAATGCATCCTATAAGAAGAAAACCTTAATATCAAAACTGTGTAAGAAAACAGACAACAGCATAAGAACATATATATATTTCTATACATGCTGGCAATTCTACTACTTAGAAACAAATTATTGTATGATTCATTATTCTCAAAGCATGTATCTTAAAACAATATATTCTACATACCTGTCCAGTCTCCTACTATTTTAAGATGGACCCCAAATGTTGCTTTGGTTTCAGTAGGACACTACAAAAAATAAATACTAGAATCAATTCTGAATAATAATTATGTATTACTAGGTACGATTAAATTGCAACTTTTAGTCTCATAGCAAGTCCCCCTAATCAATATAAAATAGAAAGCAATGGAATAAAAATATATATAGGTAGTCATTAGTGGAAGTAAAGAGCAATGTCAACTAGTCAATATGACAATATAAATTTCTCTAAAAACCTGATTGAAATAAAACAATTTAATATAGTCTTAAACTGCTAGTATATCTTACTATAAATTTGCTTAAATATCTTGTGAGTTAAAATATTTAAGAGGTCACAGCTTTTACTACAAAGGCAGAATGTACACTAAAATTTTTTATGTATTTTTCTCTCCTGGTATTATGCTTCACACTCTAATTTTGCAGAAAAGAAAAATATAATTCTCAATGTGACTTAAATATTCCATATCCAAAGAGGAAACTGATATTGAAAGCATTCCATTTCCTTCTTTTTCATTCCTTTAATTCTCAGAAGCTATCTGGAATGCTATTCTCAGAAAATACCTAGAGTGATATCCCTAGACAGGGGCACTTGGGGAGGAGAGTGAGTTATGGTAACAAAAATAAGAAACAGTATCTGTGGCTCATGTTTATAAATTCTAGAAAATACCCACATAGTAAAAATGAGAGAAGAGTATAATTCAAAATAAGAAAATGCAGAATCTCTTTTAATTTTCCAGAATCCCAACCCCTTATTCACAATTCCAAAATTCAACAGTTAGGAAAAATGAGTATTTTTATAGCTCGGTGGCAATATCTGACTTGAATTGATGGATGGGTAATGATAAGAGGCTAATAGTTTTATATAAAAATCAAACAGAATTATTTCCCTACAGAAATAGCAATTTGTTTAAGAATGCTGCCTTACATCCTACTAGAGAACTTATATAAGGAATGTGCATACCGTTTAATACACAAAATTCTGAATTTTAAAAATACATCTAACCTGTCTGTGACTACCCAGTGGTCACTGAATACCATGTGCCAAGGACAGTGCTAAGTGCTTCAGTTTCAAAATCTCACAATAACGCTGGAGAGTTGTCTTTTATAGTTAAGGAAATAGAGTAATTGAAATTAAAAATATTAACTTGCTCAAGATCATAGAACTAGTAAAAAGACAAGGCAGCGTTCAGATCCAGATTTATCTAACTACATAGTTCTTAACTATAAAGGTCACTATCTCCATTAAAAAAAAAAGTGACAAAAGATAAGGGTTGTTTGAGAAATCAAATGGAGTAGGAGGAAAAAACATACTGATTGAAGATTAATTGAACCAATGTACAACAATACTTTAGGGGGAATCTGGGATGAAGTTAAAGCAAAGATGTAAGAAAATGGCAGTGGTTCTGAAGGTCCCTGTGAGAGAGAATGGGCTACATAAAACAAGTCTAAGATCCTCAAGCTCACTGTGACCAATGAACACAGATCAGGTAGGCTGTTATGAGGAGAGGAAAGAAAGGAAGATGAAGATACCATGAAGATATGTAAATGACTTATCACAGAAGGGAGCTTGGATATCAGTGAAAAAAATAAAATGTAGGATTAATCTTGTGCTCATGATAAATCACAAACTAAAAAGCATATGATCTAATATATGTTCAGAGCTGGGAATTAATGTAACATAGACTTCCAAACTATAATTCTGCAATTAGTGTTTCTACTAGAATTGTTACCGCTTGCAGTAATATGAAATATTCAAATAAATCAAATATATATTATTAAAATATTTCATTTATAATTATGAGTGTAGTATTTAATTTACATTGTGGTTTTTAATAATCCTGAGCTCAATCAGTATTGTCATTAGTAAATCTCCAAATAAAATGATGTGATATGTAAAAACCACCCACCATTTTTACTTCATGCTACCTAAGACTGGCCAGAACCCTCTATTACAGTAAAAGTTGTAGTTTGCAGAAAGCAAGAATCCCAACAGAGTTCCAAGCTACCAATATGATTGTCCACATGTTACCTGATGTTTCATTCATTATCTTAGATTATGAAAATATCTAAGCCAAAAAAATTGAATAGGGGGCAAAATGGTCTGTCTTCATGTGACCATATACATCAAGCTTGACTTAATCTGATAATGTATTATTCTAAAGGAAAACATATTCATTTGCCATGTATTCATACCTCTGTTTTATTCTTTCAGTACAGACATTGTAAAAAAGAATTACATATGATGTTTAACATAATATCTCCTCAAGTCTTGTAGGAGCCTATAAAGCTTCCCCTTCTAAGTTCTGGCCAATGTATTAACATAGCTTTTAACGCTGATCTTCTTTGAAAAGATAAAACACAATATTGTTTCCCTCAAATTCTTGGGAATGTTGCCTTTAGAAATTTCCTGAGACTAGTTAAGAATTAAGAAGACAGATTTTAAGAGAGACTTTGGCCAATCAGATAGCCTCCAATTTGAAGGGGGCCTGCACAGAGTAACTTGGAACAGTTTCAGTATGTGTGGTTTGAAAGTGACAGAATCACATTTTAGTAGCTTTACCAAAATAATGTCCATATACACTAACATTGCTTAAGGTACAATGTAGTGATTCTTTAATGTTTTCTTACTAGTTTATTTTTTAAAATGATAAATATATATTTTTAAATATATTTTTATTGATTTCAGAGAGGGAGAGAGAGAAAAATCAATGATGAGAGAAAAGTCATTGATGAGTTGCCTCCTGCATGCCCTACACTGGGGATCCAGCCCACAATCCAGGCATGTGCCCTGACTAGGATTTGAACTATGTCTTCCTGGTTCATAGATCAATGCTCAACCACTGAGCAATGCCAGCAGGGCCTTACAATATTTTAAGAATGTTTTGAAAATTTCTCAAAGGAAAGAAATAATAAAGTATTAATATCCATGCCTATCTTGTTTCTCTCAGAACATAAATAAAGAAATATATGCTTATGCCAATTTTTTAAAAAGTTGCAAGACAGTATGTGTAGTTAAGTTTGCATTACTGAAATAAAAACGGATATCAGTGTTTTTTCTCTAAACATAGAAATTTGTTGAAGAGAATATAAAATATTCTATTACTCAACATTAACTTCTGGGAAATTAAATTAAAGATAGAAAGTAAGAACTCATTTCACACACATCTATTTTTTAAAATTTATTATTAGCTTTTACAATGCTTATAATTTTAAATGTTAAATTTGAAAGTAAACATTAAAACATTGCTGAGTCTTCCTTTAGTCTCATGTAAGTTACCTAGATGAAGAGAATGGGCGTTGGCTCTTATAGACCTTACAATAACTATCAGAATACACAGCATCTAGTTAAGGATAAGAAAATAAAGTGACAAAATTTATAACAACAGATCTGAGAAAATGTGTACTATGCTATCCTGGAGGGGGGAAAAAGCTTTTCCTTCAAATTATTTGCTCAATATGGAGTTGAGATTCTAATGTGCTCAAAAGATTTTATAACAGTCCCACAAATATATAAACAGATATTATGTAATTATCTTACATTTGGGAACTGAATGTAAAAATGATGTCACTGCACAAGGATTTACTGAATATGAAAAAGAAATTTAAAAGCCACAATGTGTTTGTTTTTAAATTTATTAAACCAGAGGAAATGATCACAGAACATAATGTTCTTTAATCATTGTTGTCAGGGCTTTATTGTTAGCTCTTTCTTCCAAAGATCTAGTTTCACATTTTCTATTCCTGCTAGACATTCCCACCAGAAATTCACTCTAAATGTAATATATCTCAAATTGCTGTTGTTTTACTACCCAAGTTATATTCTCCTCCTTCTTCTATGTCTGGCCATAGAACTTATAAATCCTTATCAGAGCAAAGCCTCAAACCCCAAAGTAATATCAGATCTTTCTCTTCTTGCCAGCATTCAATCAATTTTCAAGTCCTTTCAAATAAGATTACCAAAGAAAGGGTCTGATCATAGCAATCTCCTATTGGTTAACCTTTTGTGTCCCCCCTATGGATAAACACCCAGTTATTTTCCTTCCTATATGGCCAACCATATCTTTCCAACATTATATTCCATGGTTCTCCTGATCCACTGTAATAATCTACCTAAACCAACATGGATCAACTAAAACATGACCCTGCCCCTTTCTTTCCTGACTTAACTAGTCTAGCTTCAAAAAGGAGATCCACTTTGAGAGCAAGTCCATCTTCCCCACATGATAATGAGAAATCTTACTTCTCAGAAAGAGGCTGGGTGAGGGCTCATGGTTTAAAAAAGAACTGTTCATGTCTGTATATGGAATAACTGGACCCCAGATTCACCTGACTGCAAGTACAAGCCAGGCAATTACCCGTCCACAAACCCAAAGATAAACAGAGGTGAGACAAAAAGGGCTCTAGATGCAGGGATAACTAGTACAGTGGAAAGTAGAGCCAAAATGCCTGCTATTCAAGTTCAGCAAATATTTTTTTTAATATATTTTGTTTAATTGTTAGAGAGAGGGATAGAGTTAGAAACATTGATCAGCTGCCACCTGTACACCTCTACTAGGGATGTGCCTGCAACCAAGGGGCCTTCGACAGGAATCGAACCTGGGACCTTTCAGTCCACTGGTCAATGCTCTATCCACTGAGCCAAACCGGTTAGGGCACAGAAAATATTTTTTAAAGACACATTAAGTGCCATCTCAAATTTACCTGTCCAAAACTGAGCTCTAGATATTCTACTCATAATCTGCTCTCGGCACAGCCTTCTCTATCTCGGTTAACACAGCTCAAATGCTAAGACCAAAAACCTTGACGATAAGCTTGAGTCTTCTATTTCTTTCACATTCCATACCCAGTCTATCAAGAAATCCTATTAACTCTAACTTTAAAATATGTTAAGAATCTGACACTTCTCACCAGCTCCACTCTGGGCCAAGGCATCATCATACCTCAACTGGATGACCGCAACAGCCTCCTAATTGGTCTTCCTGCTCCACTTCATTTAATATCAACATAGCCGCCAGAGTGATTCTGTTAA